CAATAGAAGTAATAAAAATCTATTCATTGGCATTGATTCACTGATGCTTGACTCTCTTTGTGATCATCAATATAAGTGCTCCTCCAGAAAAAGTCAGCTAGCATAAATCAAGACTGTTGGTTAAGGCACATTCATGGAAATCGCTTGTTCTACTTGCATTTGTTAAAATCTTTAAAGCTGAACTCCAGTCTTACCTCTTTTTAACCCACTTGCAGCAAGTCCTCTCCTGTGTTGAATCTGAATACTCTCAATTACCTTTAAACTTGCATCTCCATGGTCTAATCATTTAAAGCTGCAGCAGGTCTCTTAAGCCCACCTTGATTTCCTGTCTGAACAACCTCCATCATTCATCAATTATTTTTCCCCAATGCGTACTCTTGTTGGCCCCCCTCTCACAGCTATTCTCTTCCTCTAGCATCATTTTGTTCCCAAGCTTTACATGAAGAAACACATCCCCGGCATCCCTTTAGACATTCCTGCAACCAGTCGACAAACCAACAGAGTGCACAGTTAAAGTCCACAGCACCCAGTGGCCAGCAGGACACATATAAAGGGGTCCCGGGGATGTGTTCTTTTATACACTAAATTATTTTAAAGCAGAGTGGTATAACCTTTACAATAGCCTGCCACCCCCTCCCACCAAACTCGGGGCAAAGAGCATCAGACAGACCCAGTGATGACCTCCCTGACTCTCATGACAAGTATTTATTTTTGTACAAAATTCATTAAAGCATATAAAGCTAACCTTTGGAAGCACCCCTGTCAGTATAATAGTTAAAATGCTTGTAACTAGGGATGTCCCAATACCACTTTTTCAGGACCATGTACAAGTACAAGTACTTCCCCTCATGTACTTGCCGATACCAATTACCGATACTTTTTTTTTTTTTTTTTTTTTTAAATGATCCATAGTACAACTACATGCGATGTACTATGGATCATGATTTAACCAATTCACGTTAGCAGGGGAGAATTGTAAATCTATTGCTGTAATGTAGTGGAGGTGTGTGCTGTATATATGTACTACATACACAGTACACTAATCCAGTACACTATAGCAATCAATGCACAGCCAACCCTGTCCCAGCTTCCCTCACTCACAGTTTCACTTCGATCCCTGTTGCCTCACGCGGTGCCTCTCGTAGTCAGCGCTGGGCAGGATCGCTGCATCGCATCTCGGTGCTCAGCTTGTGGGAGGCACTCACAAGTCTGCCCTGCTGACATGAATAGGTTAAATCACGATCCATAGTACATATACAGCACACACGTCCAGTACACTGCAGTAATAGAGTTACAATTATCCCCTGCTAACATGAATAGGTTAAATCATGATCCATAGTACATAATATGTAGTTGTACTATGGATCATTTAACCTATTCATGTTAGCAGTGCAGAATTGTAAATCTATTGCTGCAGTGCATTCTATATGTACTGTATATATGTACTACATATAGAATACACTGAAGCAGTAGATTTACAATTCTGCACTGCTAATATGAAGGGGTTAAATGATCCATAGTACATAACATGTAGTTGTACTATGGATTATTTAACCCCTTCATGTTAGCAGGTCAGAAATGTAAATCTACTGCTGCAGTGCATTCTATATGTACTGTATATGTACTACATATAGAATGCACTGCAGCAGTAGATTTACAATTCTCCCCTGCTAACATGAATAGGTTAAATGATCCATAGTACAACTGCATGTTATGTACATATTATGTACTATGGATCATTTAACCCCTTCATATTAGCAGTGCAGAATTGTAAATCTATTGCTCCAGTGCATTCTATACTTCTTGTTCACACAAAACACTAAGCCCAGGCCCCGTCTTACTTACTGTTGCCTCGATCGCAGTGCCTCACGATGTGCAGAACGATTTTCCTCACAAGTGAGGACATCGTTGGCGCTGAGCTGAAGAGGAGCGTCGTGTCACTGCTGCTCCGGTGGGCGGTGCACCAGGTGGGGTCCTAATGTAGGTGGACGGCGACTGCCCAGAGGACCGGCCACCTAAATTAGGACCCCCACCTGGAGCGCCACCACCGGAGCAACAATGACGCGATGATCGGCGCGACGCGGTGCGGCAAGTAAAGAAAAAAAACCATAGTGCAAGCTTCAGCGCTATGTATCGGGGCATTTTGACAAGTACTGGTCTGTTTTCTCCTATTGGGATGCTTCTTATCAGCACATGAACTGATTGGTGTCAGTACTAGGATTCGGGCTGTCCCTTTAAGACTCAGCAAAACTCTCACAAACTGACACAGCCTTTGCCTGAGAAACAACGGTGATTGGTCAGCTCACCTTTAAATCATCTGTATCAGCACACCACCAGTGCTCGTGATAGCGTTGTTACCTTGTCTGCTCCTACTTGACCCTGCTGATATCTTCTCTGTATATATCGTGTATGACCCGGCTGGTTTTGACCCTGCTTTTGCTTGCTTCTGATTCAGTACTGGTGATTGGACTCTGGTCTACCTGTGAATGACCCGGCTTGTCTAGACTATGCTTTTGCCTGATTCTACTGTAGTGCCAGACTCAGCATTACTACTTGGCTGTCCTGACCTGCTCCTGCTACATCTACCGCGCTGAACCATAAGCATCAGCCAGCCTCTACCTACATCTGCAGCAGTGAACCATAAGCATCAGCCAGCCTCTACCTACATCTGCAGCAGTGAACCATAAGCATCAGCCAGCCTCTACCTACATCTGCAGCAGTGAACCATAAGCATCAGCCAGCCTCTACCTACATCTGCAGCGGTGCACTACAAGTACCAGCCGATAACGGGGAGTTTACTGTAATAAGATGAAGCTGTGTTCACTACAATCTTCTATGCTATAGCAAAAATGCAAAAAAAAAGCTCTCCTCTTCTTCTTTAGTAAATTAGCACCTTTATGGCATCAGTTGGGCACATGTGGGATCTAACAACTAGCCCCCGTTCACACCTAGGCATTTTCTAGCTGTTACAAACGAGCTACAAAACTCCCAACACAAGAAATCCTATGATTTTTAATGGCCCCTGTTCACACCTGAGCATTCGGACACCAGCAAGCAAAACGCCAAACACAGAAAAAAGTACATGAGCTTGTTTTGGCAGTTTGCAGCTCATTTTCTCCCATAGACTTCAATGGAAATGCCAGGATTTGCGCGACACAAGCGTTTTGCACATTTTCTGTGCACCATTGTCCATTAACCGCAGTGTCTCTTAATCTGTCAAATGCGCGTCTTCATATGCGCATATCTAATGCATGCAAAAATGTGCAAAATGTGCTAAACATGCTAAAAACGTGCATTAATATGCACAAAAATGATGATGCCTAGGTGTGAATGGGGCCTAAGTTTTGTAAACAACAATGATATAGCGCTCACCAAACTGTGCATGTTAAAATCTTTTGCAGTGGACAGAAAAATCTTCCAGTATATTGGAAATTTACTATAGGCTGACGTCACAAAAATAATGCCAATATAATCTCTGTAAAGCTGCCAATTTTATTTGTCCCCACATTGCACCCTTATTCAATTTCTGTACAAATACCCCATCATGCACAGACCGATGTAAATTTTGATAATCTTTCATCAGCAATAGTAACTGACCGAATCTCGTCGATCGTCAGAACAGATTTTCGTTTGCGCTTGTGCAGTGTTCATGTTGCGATTTTTATTGTACGAAAACGCCATTAAAACCATCCATTTTCGTCCGTTTCGACGAAAGCTTTCAGTCTGCCCGTTCAACCAAATTAGCCAGTTGTACAGTAATTGCGATCATGCACTTCCCATCAACTGGCCGATTATTGTATGAAAAATGGATTGCATTAATTTTTCGAATGATAATTGTAAGGTGTATGGGCACCTTTAGTGGGATGTACTTTTGTGAGCCTGAAGGGGTTTTATTATGATTTTTTTTCACACAAGATTCACACATTTTCACAACTAAATCTAATTAGGAAACTGTATAAATCTGTGGCAAACGTGTGAATCTTGGGTGAAAACTTTCTTAGACCAGTGTAAAAGGCAGATTGCAGAAATTATATGCACGGTACACAAAGGTTTCAATGTGAATAAGTAGTATAAATCAGCCTTTCTCAACCAGGGTGCCTTCTACCTTCGTAGGAGGTGTCTTAAATTTTTTTGCAAAGGGGGTCTCCTGATGTGAAGTGGGGGGCTTCTGATGTAAAAGGAGTGACTCTGATATGAAGGGGCAAATGCCACATTTATTTATGTTTTTTTTTAGAAATTTGTCTGGGGTCTCTACCTGAACCCTGTCTAGGATAAGGATTTGGTATGGATCTGCCGTTTTGTACATTTATGTTTTTTCCATTTTAGACTGGTTGTACCTCAAGATTTTGCATACTTTTGAAAGGTGCCATGACTGAAAAAAGGTTGAGAAATGCTGGTCTAAATGTAAAATCAGCCTTTGCACTAACTGATTGTTTTAAATAGCTTTAAGCATTTTAGGTGATTTGCTATTAATTACAGACTAACATCTTCCCATTTCAATCCACAATCACATTATACTGTAGACATTATCCCTCATCTGTATTTAGTAGCTCTGTTCAGTATATTCAAATAATCATTTGTCTAATTGCAGCAGAACAGTATTATTATTATTAGTTTACAGGATTTATTTAGCACCAAAAGTTTGCGCATTGCTTTAACATTTAAAGGGAGACAGTACAGTTACAATGCAATTCAAGAGAAGATGGCTAGGAGGGTCGTGCCATGAGAGATTCACTCGAGCAGTCTTAAAAAAATATGCATCTGGTGGCATAATGAAACATTCTGACCCTGCACATGAATATCTGGTACTTGTATAACATTTGTGATTCTGTTGCATGCTTTACAGGCAGCTTATCTCTTCAAGGGCTGTACACCCCACACATGTCATCAAGCAGGTGTAGGCTTTAATGTACAAGGGCGGGGTGTTACTACTGTGATACTGGTTTAGCTGGCTTCTCTTTTACTGGTCCTGTCTCATTCAACAGACAGCACAGCAGACGTACAGGCTCAGCTTCACACAGGAAAATGGAGGAGCGCAACCTGTCCGTGATTCTACTGCAGGAATATGATTTTGAGAGGGGATTTGATTACCAGGAAGCCTTCCAATGGATGCAGCAGAACTGGTGAGTTATAAAAGGAAACCTGGAACAGGAAAATGTATTCCATGAAATGAAAGCATGCTGGTGCAAAATCTTTGTCATGAAGTCTATAAAAGAGTAATGAACTCTTTGATAAACGTTAGAGTGCTGTATGTGTGTAAAGAGCTTTTATCCTGTGCCATTTATGAATAGAGAAAAACTTTATAGCCGTATCGATGTGAGCAGTCATCCCTATTTGTGCTCTGGATTTATACAGTCTAGCACTGAATCTGTGGTGTGCCTGACTGATGCATGACTTCATTTGATCTAGAGCAGCGTTTGCCTATTTGTTATTTGTCCAGTATACCACTATCTCCAATAATTATCCTATGATTTGCCATATAGTTGCCATTCCTAAACTGTACACACGTTCTCCAGTATTGCTAGAGATAGCAGAAAGTACATATCTAGTAAAAGGGTAGGTCCACAGTCAAATTTCTTGAATTGTCCATCCACTGCATGCTTGTGGTGGGTGTGCATCTCTTGATCTGCCAGAGAAATGCTGGATTATCTAGAATTTCTGAATACAACAATGATGAATGTGTATTATCCTGATATTGACACATTGTTAAACAGCTGTAAAGAGAAGATGATGACATGTATTAGTGTCATGTGCTCACTGTCATATAGACAACCAGAAGGATCAACGGTCCCTCTGACAACTGCATTTGTCTCAGGAGTTTAACTCATGACCATTGTGCTGGAAAGATAATGTGATGTGCTCATGGCAACCAATCAGGGTGTTTCATTTATTTCCAGACATATTCTGGTTATCAACTCCATGTAAAGTTAATGGTATTTCCAGTCTATTGCACCTGTAAATATATGGAGATACATTTATAAAGACTTACATGGGGTAGCTAACTGGTGAGGAGCCCATTGGGGTGAACTCTCTTGTAGTGAATATCCAATCACGTGCAAGGGAAAAAAAGGCAAAAAGGCAGTATTTTTGCTAGTACATAATTGGATGATAGAAGCCGGCAGAACTTTACCTCATTCCCTATGCTAGGAGAAAATTCCTTTGCAAACTTAACAGCCTCTTTGCCTTTAGTAAATCAACCCCAATATATCTGTTTCCTAGAACATTAGAACGTTCCCCTCACTACTGCAGAAGGGAACCACACAACACATGAAACAAAAGTCATTCAGCCAACTTCATGACTGCTCGCCTACAACAACTAAAGAAACTTTGATTGTTGGGAGTAGAGTGAGAAAACATTGTAAATAGATGAATATACACTATATTGCTAAAAGTATTGGGACGCCTGCCTTTACACGCACATGAACTTTAATGGCATCCCAGTCTTAGTCCGTAGGGTTCAATACTGAGTTGGCCCACCATTTGCAGCTTCAACTCTTTTGGGAAGGCTGTTCACAAGGTTTAGGAGTATCTCTATGTGAATGTTTGACCATTCTTCCAGAGGTCAGGTACTGATGTTGGACGAGAAAGCCTGGCTTGCAGTCTCCACTCTAATTCATCCCAAAGGTGTTCTATCTGGTTGAGGTCAGGACTCTGTGCAGGCCAGTCAAGTTCCTCCACCCCAAACTCGCTCATCCATGTCTTTATGGACCTTGCTTTTTGCACTGGTGCGCAGTCATGTTGGAACACGAAGGGGCCATCCCCAAATTGTTTCCACAAAGTTGATAACCTAAAATTGTCCACAATGTCTTGGTATGCTGATGCCTTTAGTTCCCTTCACTGGAACTAAGGGGACGAGTCCAACCCCTGGAAAAACAACCCCACACCATAATCCCTCCTCAGAAAAACTTTACACTTGACACAATGCAGTCAGGCAAGTACCGTTCTTCTGGCAACCGCCAAACCCAGACACATCCACCGGATTGTCAGACAGAGAAGCCTGATTGGTCACTCCAGGGAACATGTCTCCACTTCTCTACAGTCCAGTGGTGGCGTGCTTTACACCACTGCATCTGACGCTTTGCATTGCACTTGGTGATGTAAGGCTTAGATGCAGCTGCTCGAACATGGAAATTCCATGAAGCTCTCTACGCACTGTTGTTGTGCAAATCTGAAGGCCACATGAAGTTTGGAAGTCTGTAGCTATTGACTCTGCAGACAGTTGGCGACTTCTGCGCACTGTGCGCTTCAGCATGCGCTGATCCCGCTCTGTCATTTTACATGGCCTACCACTTCTTGGCTGAGTTGCTGTTGTACCCAGTTGCTTCCAATTTGTTATAATACCACTAACAGTTGACCGTGGAATATTTAGTAGCAAGGAAATTTCACGGATGGACTTATTGCACAGGTGGCAACCTATCAGGGTACCACGGTTGAATTCACTGAACTCCTGAGAGCAACCCATTCTTTCACAAATGTTTGTAGAAGCAGTCTGCATGCCTAGGGGCTTGATTTTATACATCTGTGGCCATGGAGGGGATTGGAACACCTGAATCCAATGATTTGGAGGGGTGTCCCAATACTTTTGGCAATATAGTGTATTCCAACTAACCAAACCGACATACAAATTATATGAGCATTTTATGCCAAATTCTGTATTTCAAAAGTTGGACTTGGACCTGTTTTTTGTTTCTGGACATAATGAAAAGCTGTTTTCTGAGATACGGTATCTACAGACAGAAAATAATGTTTGTATGGTCAGATTGAGCAACAATCTTATTTTCAATCACAGCAGATATTTTGTGGCTGACTTATGACTGTGGACTTGATTCTTCTCTAAGATAGGACAGCTCTTTGGATGTCTGCAGAGTGCTTACCCTCCATAGCATCAAACAGGCAAGCTCATCCAATGTCTATGTTAGGGGTAGGCAACCTCGCCACTCCTGCTGTGCTAAAACTACCACAGTTGCCTACTCCTGGTCTAAGCCATGGATAAGAGATGACAGCTGTCCAATCCAGTTGTATTTTGGCCTCCTGTGATAACTATTGATCTCCCCGACTACCCTCCTAAGTCTACATTGCATTTAGTTATAAATACTGAACCTTGATGACTATCTTGTAATAACATATAGCTGACATTTCTTTCCTACATCGAAATATGACAGAAGAATGTCTTTACAAACATACATTCCATACACACCCATAAAAAAGAGAACGTTGTAGAGTATTCCACACAGAATGCGCAAAGCAGCTTCCTGGAACAAAGGTCAAAATCCTTTCTCACTTTATACAATGGCACGTCTGATTTCAGAGGTTTGACAATGAGGTGTATTTTAAATGGCTCTGTTTGCAGTTACTTTTACTAGATGTGACTAAGCTAAACTCTCTGGCAAGGAACAGAAAATGTCTGAAATAAATGCCATGTTCATTTTAGGTATAAGATCTGGACTTCTATTAATATGCAATAATATGGCTGTTTGATTAAGGCAGGTGCAGTTAAAACAGGACTCATGTCTTGTAATGCTCTTTTTAGCTACCTGAAGATGAAATCTAATAGATAAATGGGTGCTGTGAACAAAAGTCTATACAATTTATGAAAATAAGAATGGAAAAGTAATTTCGGTTCAGAATTAGGTGCAGTAAGAAGATAAAAGTTTTGATCCCATTGTAGTTACAGTACCAAAAGCTCAGAATATTTTCTTGCAGATAAGGATGGGGAGTTGCTACATAGCTGCCACCTGCTAGGAGGGTGATGCAGTGCAGGAAGAACCTGTTTTTTTTTGCCTGTTGCTCTCCTGCCTAACAAAGCCCCTAAAGAAAATATCAGATGTTAGCGCATACTGCACATTTCTTAAAAGAAAGGAAAAGTATGTATAACCGCTGTTGAAATTAATCAGCTGGACATGAAATGAATGGGGATCGGCCTCTTCCTACCACATGGGCAAAGAAAACTACAAGCAACAGAAATGCCAAAACCTTTTTTCCATCTTGAATAGAGGAGGGAATTTAAAACCACGAACAAGTTGTGTTCCATTGGGGAGAAATATGACTTCCTTTCCTGTAGACACAACAGAAAGTGAGAGAAATGCACAACTGTCCCCATTAGAAGTTTTACCCTCTATTCCTATTCTGGTGACGCCTTACAGTAGAACTGAAGCTGAAACATTTCTTTTGTTTTGGACAGACCTTTTTTGCCATCTGTGTCCCATTGGGGAAATTTCCCTTCACTTCCTGACAAGTAGCCACTACTACTACTACTACTACTAATTACAGTCGGGCTGATTGCAATTAGAAAGCCTATTTAAAGAGCAGAAGTACAATGTTAGCGCAATGCCAGGAGGATCTGGTTGGCAGGAAGTAATAGACTTGCAGAAAACAAATACCTACTTTGCATCACATGAATATGTATCAAAAATTGTCTGTGAGAGCACTGGCACGGTGTTCATATTGGCACAAACAGAAGACAAATTAATTTACATCAATATAAAACACCTGCTTCTGACTGTGTTGTTTCCTCTAGTACAGTCAGCCCAAGTAAACAGTATAATGTTTGTGAATTCTGTCCATGGGATTGCTGCTATGGTCCCATAATTGGGCAATTGCACTCAAGTGTTATCCATATGAGTAACAATCCTAGGTAATTAACCAACACTTAAATCTTTGGTTTACTATGCATTGTTTCCATTATTAGTCCTAAATAGTTGTATATTTAATATAGAATGAAGAAGAGTAGTTCTTCTTCCATGCAGCCATAACTGAGTTTGAGATGTATGCCTCTCAGCTGTAATAACACTATTATAACAAAGATCCATAGCATGGAATCCATGAATCCTATAATATTTTGATGACATCCATGTACTTGCATGAATAATCATATTTATCTAAAAAAAACATAGCAATATCTACAGCAGATTTGGGAGCTCATATTTTAGTCTCAATGTGCAACCATTAATAAGAACAGAATCAATCTCGGTATAGAGTTTTTGCTTTTTGTATATATATATATATCACCTAATAAAAAAATAAAAAAAAAGGAAGGAGAAAATGTCTACTATAGGGTCGATTTAACATTGTTTACTCCCAAGATCCACACATTTTCTAATGAAATCTTATGTGAAAAATGTATTAAGCTTAAGTAAAAGTCTTGTGACTCTTGGCTTAAAACATTTGTAAATAGACCCCTATATCTGCCAGAAGTCTTACTAAAGCCACCAAGATCATAGGCTTAGTCAATAAAGCTAAGACACCAAGATAGGGATCCTTTTTTTAAAAAAAAACAAAAAAAACGTCCAGCTATTTTCAGATAATTCCAATTTAAACATTTCAGTAACATGGCTAAAAACAAAGATCCATATCTTTGTGTAAAATATTTCCAAATTAAGAATTAATTGAATAATTTATGAAAATCTAAAACTAAAAATCCATGGTCATTTTGATAAAATAAGTATTTTTTACAGATCACTTTTTATATGTATAATACATTTGAATACAGCTACTAGACGTTTCTTCTAGTCATTGTGTTGAACAAGTACTGTATAGGAAGAAAATAAAAAAGTAACAAAATTGACTGAATAGGTTCTACCAATCCAAGTCAGAGGTAGAACATCCCAATGGATATAATCAGCTATTAACTGCTTTTTTTTGTTTTTTATCATGTCAAGTGTGAGGGTAAACAGAGCACCGGGTAGCAGTAAACAAAAATGACAATGGTTCTGACTTTATCCTACTCTATCCAAAACTAAGAAAAAAGTTTTGGCTGGACATTCACGTTATTATTTTCTGCCTCTCAGGTTTACAATAAGATTTAGATTCACTAAAGACATGGATCTCTTTTAGAGAAAAGGAGTCTTTATTAGGTTTGGCAACGCTGGTGATTAAGGCAGAAACCACTCTATTTGACATTGCAATTCCAGCTAAAATATGACTTCAAGAAACTTTTGCTTGAGAAAATACCAGTGAAGAAAGGTATCGCATATTTTTATTTCATTCATGGTATTGGTTTGGTATACCTTTGCTCACATGCTCTTCTGGCTGTTCCAATGGCCACCTGAGTTCATGTGTGACACCACTGCAGAGTCCTTCCTAGGAAATGTCCTTCACAGGGGCAAAATGTCTCTTTATATTTCAGATGCTGTGTGCAGTATTAGCCAAGGTGTGTTCTCTGCAGAGAGAAATAATAACACCAACATTTGCATCTACCAGAGAGACCTACTACCTCACTAAAGTGGGGCATATTCATAGATCTCCTCTATTCCTGTTCTAGTGACAACCACAGAATTTTGGATTTCCCTTACATTTCAGTGGCCGTCAGGACAAAATGTGAGGGTTAATTTCCACAATGAGAAGTGAAGTTCTATACTATTATATTATAATATTATAATATATTGACGGTTCACTGACTGATATAATGTAAAGTAATGGGTTTGGGAGAAAAAACTAGACAAGCTGTTAGGAGCAGTGGTATCAAAAAGGCAAACAGCCACACTAGAATCTTAAACCCCAGCAGCTCTGGATCACACTCTGATGTGAAGGTGTGCTGAAAACGTTCATGTAAGGTGGAGACTCTGATGTGAAAGAGGGGGACGCTTAAGTAAAGGGGGCTCCTGATGTCAAAGGCAGACCCTGATGGGGACTGAGGACTCTGATGTGAAGGGGGACTGAAGATTCTGATGTCAAGAAGGAGACTGAGGACCACGATGTGAAGAGGGACTGAAGACTTTGATGTGAAGGAGGAGCTGAGGATCTGATGTGAAGGGGGGATTAAGGACTCTGTTGTGAAGGAGGTACTCTGATGTGAAGGGGTGATGAATACTTTGTCATGTAGGGTGGACTCTGAACTGAAGGGGGCTCCTAATTTGAAAGGGGGTTACTGACGTGAAAAGGGGTCTCTGATATTGTTTTTTCACAGTAATATAATCCTTTTCTTTTGCACAGGAGCAAGGCCTTCTTTTTCTCTGTTCTGTATGCTGCAATGATATTTGGAGGTCAGCGAGTTATGAAAGAAAGGAAAAGATTTGAACTGCGAAGGCCTCTCGTTCTGTGGTCACTGACACTTGCTGTTTTCAGGTGAGTAGCCAGTCTTGTGTATTATGTCTTGTGCATTGTACTGTAATTGGGATATTGATTATTTTACTTGTAACATGTAGTATGTAGTACTTAGGACCAACTACAGCTGTAGCAGAATAGACTACTACTACTACTGCTATCGGGTACAATGGCACAGCAGGGTTCAGTATTGCTTGGCTTCATCATGATTCATACAAGCAGCAACTCACCTTGTGAAATAATTTTGTGTAATTTGAGGGGGTTAGTCACTAAAAAGCTGAAGGACATAGCCAAACCTATGGACATAGGGAACCCTACAGCTGAAAAATGAAAAAAAACAAACAAACCATGGGGTCCCCCTAAAACTCCAAACCAGACCCTTAATGGGTCTGGTTTGGAGTTTGGCAGGAAAGGGGGGGGTGAAAAAATGTCTGGGCCCCCCCACCCCAATCCCTTACCAGACCCTTTATCCAAGCAGCAGCCTGGCAATGCAAGAAAGGGAGGGAAATTATTATGCCCTCCCTGCACTATACCAGACCACATGCCCTTTGCATTGGGAGGGTGCTTTTCCAGGGGTCCCCCGCCTGGCTCGCTCACACTCCCCCCTTTCCTGCCCTGCCAGGCCAGTGCCTGGATTAAGGGTCTGGTAGGGAATTTTAGGGGGACCCCTAGAGGGTCTGATTTGACTTTTTGGGGGAACACCACAACCTTTTTTTAAATTTGTAACTTGGGGGGTCTCTCCTAACATTTCTACGAGACCTAAAGGGTCTGGTATAATTCGGGAGGGGGACCCTACACTGTTTTGTTTTTTTTTGCCTTTGTTTACATCTTTTTGAAATTTTGCTTGCTACCTCTGAAGTAGTGAGAAGAATAATCGAGCCAAATGCTGCACAGCAGCATTCAGCTATTCACTCATTGCTTTTTCGGCCCCTATGAGAATAGGGGTGAACAGCAGCGAGTGAACTACCGTACGCTTGCCTCAGCCGATCCTGATGTTGGATCGGCTCAGATGAACGTTTTCTTCACTTCTGCTCAGCTGGACTTGCTGAGGCTGTTTGGCTGAACCGAAGGGAACTTAAGCCAGCCAATGTACGGCTGAAATCAGTCATACTCGGCTGAAGTGACTAGCCGAACGGTGTTCGGCTCCCTTCACTTAGGCTCGATTATTCACTTGACTGCCTTCGGCAGCTTAGTGAATAACCCCCTGAATGTATTTGCTTTTTAATAACCTCCACCCAATTACTATGAGAGGAATTATATTGGTAGCTTCGGCTTTCAGCGCGCGTTTGTGAATAGCCTGTACAGCAGCTTTTCGGTTCTACTGAACCAAAGGGGTCCTGGGGCCGAAGCTAGCCGAAGGATCGGCCGAAGCTACGGCTAGATCCTTCGGCTGCTTCGTGAATAGACCCCATAATATCGGAGACTAGATTTGTTTTTATATATTTATTTTGGCATTGCCTTTAAAATAAAGAACCAGGAGCCTTGTCTACTACATATGGTTTTGCCTACACGGAACTTTTTGTGTTAATTTTAAGTAAGTTCTTTGTGGATGGTTGTAGTATATACATTGATCTAAGCCCAACCACTAAAGTTTTATAAAAGCTTTCAAATGTGTATTACTTTCCAGTAGTTGTTTTTAGACTTCTGGTATTTGGAGCTTTTATTAAAATAACAACCAGTGATCATGCCACGAAGGTTCTTGTTTAGGCACTTCCTGTTGAAATCTCTCTCCCAAATATGCTCCTGCATTGTCACCCAATCACATGTGCTACTAGTGGAGACAACATACATTGTGCAGCCAATTTGCTGTTATTGCTACCAGGTTGCTGGTCCAGAGCAATGATGTACAGCCAATGCTGGAACAAGTTCATGTAGACAGAAAGTGGCTGAAATCAGCAGATACACAAAAGGATGAAAGTAAGGTGGAAATAGTATTCCATATATATAAAAAAGTCAATTTCATATAATACGCTTCAGCAAACTAAACATCCCCTTAAATGTATTTTAATAAACACAATGTTGACCCATTTAGTAATTTCAAGTGTGTGTTGTATAAAAAATAAAACAAAAATACTCAAGTATTTACACAGAATTGAAGAAAATCTTATTATTATGGGTATTTATATAGCGCCGACAATTTATGCAGCACTTTACATAGTTGCACATTCACGTCAGTGCCTACCCCCAAGGGGCTTACAATCTAAGGTCCCTATCTCACATACATACATAGAGGGCCTATTTTTTTTTTTTTAGAGAAAAGCCAATTAACCTACCAGCATGTCTTTGGAGTGTGGGAGGAAACCCACACAGGCACAGGGAGAACATGCAAACTCCTTGCAGATAGGGACCTGGCCTGGATTCGAACCAGAGATCCCCAGTGCTGCAAGGCAGAAGCGCTAACCACTACCTCATTGGCCGTTGGCCTTGGTGAGATGTGGCACATTGCACATAGCCTATTGCAGTAATAGCCCTATAACCCTTTAGAATGTCTATTCATTGTTCTACCTCCTGAGTATCATTTACTTTAACACATGGTACATGTTGTTGCTTACTTAAATCTGTCTGCTTAATATACAAGCTTGCATGCTTACATTGCGTTTCATGCTGTTGCCTAACAAGCCACAACATGGTCCCTGTGTTATCTGAGAGCCTTACATTCTGTGAATGTAACATGTTCTGTTTGCTGTTGTTAAGGGAAGCCCATACATTTCTGTTACTACAACTCTTTGTGTTACCATGCTGTTTCTCAGCTAAAGGTTGCTAGTAAATAATTGAATGGATTTGTCTGCCCTCGATTGCTTCAAATGTTATTTGTAATAATAACAGAGGCACTTTTTAGCACCTATATCATAGTAAAAAAAAACATTTCATGCTGCTGCTATGTCTCTATAAAGATAAATGTATATGAATGAATAGAATCCATATAAATAAAGACGTTGGAACTACCTAAACAACAAAGATCAGAGTGTATAGACTTGTTGGAGCTTAACTCAACATTAAACTCAGGAGTTAAAACTTAAAAATGCATTCAAATACCTTAAAGGAGAACTATGAGGTGAGTGCTTTTCACTCACCTCATAGTTCTAGCCGACCTGTGACAATGAGACTGTCACAGGTCGGCTCAGTAGATTGGTGAAGTGAGCGAACACATACCGGCGTTCTCTCACTTCTCGATCCTGTCACAGCTCTCTGCCGTGACAGGGGAGTGGCTGGATTCACCCCTCCCCGCTCTGATCCTCCAGCGCTGACTGGCAGAACGGACGGGCAGGTACAGCTGGCTCTGCCTCTAGATAGGCAGAGCCAGCTGTCACTCACGCAGCTGGGCGGATCCTGACATAATTGTCGGGATCCGCCTCAGCTGCGGCGTCTCAGTAACTGAGCTTAGGGTGACGGGAGGACGCTGCTTCTCCTTTCACTGTCAAGTCACAGGGTGGGGTGTAGGAGGAGATCTGTAAGTGTTACTGAACTGTAGGAGAAAAAACTCTGCTCTTCTGCCCTGCTACATGGGGCAGTGTGTTGTTGCACAGCTGTGTAAATCTTGATGGACTTGATGGACAGAAATTCAAAACTTTATCCTCTTTATGTGTACTTTATCTGTGTATTTAGCTGTTTGGAGTTCAGCTTTACATATAGGCTAGTTTCTCTCACATCATATTGATATACTGTATATTGGTTTCAAGTCGTAAAGTGTAGGCTTATTTCCACAGCAGTACTTGAATCAATGCCTTTCATTAAATGGCAATTGTTCGTCATAATTAGTCTAAATGTCGCTGGAAAACTGCAGTAGAAACATCACAGACTATATTCATTTTATTTACCATTGGACAAGTCTAATATGTTGACTGCCGCTATTTCTTTTTGGCTTGCAGTATCATTGGAGCGGTCCGCACTGGCTGGTTCATGACTAACATGCTCCTATCTAGTGGCTTCAAGCAATCAATATGTGACCGTAGTTTTTATGATGGGCCTGTTAGCAAGTTCTGGGCATACGCCTTTGTCTTGAGTAAGGTCCCAGAGCTTGGTAAGTAAAATGCCTTTTTTCTGATCTTTAAATCTCTGCCTGTGAATCTCTAAATCATATTTTCTCATTTCAAAGATAAACACAAAGAAATTGTCTGAAGTATGTCTAAGGTAAAAGAGGATGACTTCTTGAGACCAGTTTCTTTGAACTCTTTTAACCTACAACCCCAGAGCAAAGTTGTGTATGTTGGTGATGATAGTCTTTCCACAGTTAAAGGATGACAAAAAAAGAAGTATATCTGACTTGAAGGTATAATCATGTTGTAGCTGGCCCCTGTTAACATGTGTGTGACACTAAGCATGGGTTCCATCTAGCACACACAGGAATAAAACTATAGCTATCAAAAACCTATTATTGACCATGGGTGTGTTGTTTTACAATGTATTCTCATATATTCCCTTTTGTCTGGTAGACTGTCAGAAAGAACCGGCTTGGCTGGAATGCAGGCAAACTGGTCATTCTGTACCTTCACTATCAAAACTACAATTCTTGCAGCCTAACGAAACCAAAATAATATTCATTCTAAGTTATCCTTATCTACTTTTGGCTAGTTAGACTTCTTGGACTATTTATACCGTAGACAGGGCCAGTGCTAGACTATTTTCCGCCCTAGGCAAGACCAGCTACTTGCACCCCCCAGCCCCCCTTCCACAGAGCAGCCCCCAATACCCCCCTCAGCGCACGCAGCCCCATTCTCCTGCCAGCTAGCTTCCACTTGCGATAGATGGATGTTTGAAGAATGTCACCAGCACACCAATTTCTTTACAGCAAATAAGTGATTATTTAATGACGTACGCCGTCTCTCGTTTTGCAAGCGCTTTTGGGGCCGCAAAGGGTCCCCTTCATTAGGCTCAGAGATGGATGTAAGCAGCTGGGAAAATTGCCACAATGCTATTGGCTATTTTAATTTGACAGGCTATTTAAGCACCAGTAACTGAGCAGAAGAGCGGACCTGAGAGAGAAAGTTGTCAGTTCCGCTCCTCTGGTCAGTGGGTGGGTGCAATAGCCAGCCAGCCTGCTATTGGCTTTTGCTATTTAAAATAGAAGGGGAGGCACCGTGGGGGGGGGGGGGAGTAGTCAAGGCTGCACCGTAGGCAGCAGTGCGCCCTAGGCGGCTGCCTAGTTGAACTAATGGCAGCACCGGCCCTGACTGTAGAAGTTTATTACAAAGTCACTGGCTTTCCCCAAAATTCCGCTTAACAGGATTACATCTGAGACACTCGCTAAGACACTCGCTGTTTGCATACTGGATTTATCAAACAGGTTTGGTTTCATCTGTGGGGAGGGGTGGACACAATCAATTAAAGGCCATGTGTGAGTCATCCTAAAATTCACTGATGGCGGATGCATTGCAATTTGTCATCTGTCAAGTGTGGAAGTTCCTGAGGTTCATTGCAGCCACTAATGTCATCAGTTATGTCTGCCTCTGCAATAACTGTACACCACATCTAATGTGTTTATAATCTAAAGCTAATTTAGCCCATAAAACACAATAGCATAGGCAAAGAAAGTCCTAATACAATGCTCAAACAAGTAATGGACTATTCAGGCATACCGTATTGTGCAATAATATGCACTTCTACCCATCATATGCACTCTTTTATCAATGCTATTTTCCAAATTGTGGAATCTTTTCTATTTAGATCTTCCAACTATGGGAATGTTACAATCGGTTTTCTTATTTATTGCTATTACATGCATCACATCAGTGTTCCATGTTATTATGATATAAAATAAACCACAATCCTACCTCTTTAATAACTGTTAAAGCAGTCTGTACAGTACACTAAATCTACATGAGTGCATCTTGAAAATTCTTATGTAAAAATATAAAATCCATAGGAAAGGGTTAAATTAAAAAGCTCCAACATATTCCAACCGTATATCTTAAGGAGGCTCAGTTACCTAAGAATAACTGCTGCAGGTGCCTGCATATCCCTGCAACAGCTTCCCAATGCTTGCCTGTCCCATTCTTGCTTGTACATTTCTATTGGGCAGTGTGACTGCCTATCATAGTAATAGCCCAATAGGAATGTGTGTGGAGCATGGTTTAGTGCTGACACTATATAGAACCGTTAGAGCTTTGCATGTCGGAACTGGCCATATTTCAGCCATGAGAGGAGGGTTTCGTTTTTTCAGGTATCTACAGGCACTTCTGTGCAGCATGCACTTCTGGATCAATTTGTGTAGATGACAAGAGTCTCTCTGATAACAAGAACAGCCTGCACTGTGTGAACAAAATAGCTACGTCTTTGGCAGGGTGACTATAACTATTTACACTTTTGCCAGTATAAAGACTGCTGTGCCGTCATAATCCATTATTTGTATAAAGGAATGAGTTGAGTCAGATGACTGGCTAATGGATAATACCATATAATATTCTTGGAAAGTGCAGAAACTCAACGGTTTTAGTTCCAAAATCAACTGTAACTGGCACAATTAGTTTAGGCTATTCTAGATAAATGTTTAGGTTAGAGATAAGCCATGCCATTCAGGCCTATCTTTCTTCTAGAATTGATATGACTCATTTTGTGTGCCATCTGACCATCTGAAGACACCTTTTAGTTCAGGCCTTAGCAATAACCAGGGCAGCCCCTATAATGGGGCCCTCATTGAGGGGAAGGCCAGTGGGGGGTGGGCTGTCTTTAGAGGGGTGGCCACAGCATCCCAGGTTGCTGAGAGCTCTTGCTGGCGTCCCGCTGTGCTCCTGGCAACCAGTGACGTCAGCGAGCTTGGCAGGAGTGGACAGAGAGCTGCTGACAGCACGGCTCTAACACAGCCACCCGTCCCACCTCTCCCCGAATGACCGCTATAAGCAAAGCCCCGCCCCCCAAGCGGCACTATCCGCTTAGGCAGCATATAGGGTAGGGGCTGCCCTGGCAATAACCATGAACACCTAAGCATTTATCCTTATGCTATGGATCAGGAAAGACAGAGACACACATAGACACTGCCTGCTTCAGACAAGGTTTTTGTTGAGATCTCTCAAGCAGTGAAATTTGTAGGTGCCAACAGACATGGGACTGCAGACGACATTAATACATAAACAATAATATGAAAAATAAAGAGACAGGACATCTAAATATTGGCAAATAATGGCCGCTGCATTTTTATTGGTATCCAATAAATATATATATACATTTTAACTTTATTAACCAAAATAACATTAACCAATGAGTAATACTTCAAACCAACTCTTTGCCCAGTCATTACAACTCGAGCAAATCAACTTCACTTAACTGTGAATTAGTTCCCCCCAATAAATGAGGTGACAAACCACATAAAAAAGCCAGGACTAGGGAGGGAGGGACGGAGGGGGCTTGCTGAGCTGTGATCCAGACAAATGGTGATGAATTTGCTGAGATACCTTTTTTATATAGGGGTGACCAGGGGGCTGCAGAATGTTCTAGAAATCCTTGAGGAGAATTCTTCCCGCCTAAAACTCCCGGCTTGTCTGAGGAGATTTAAAGGGCCAGTAATCCTGATAATAAAAGCAAACAGCAAAAAACAGGGTAAAGGGTATAAGTCGCTGCAGTCCCATGCAGGTGGGCCTCTTATAATATGCCCCCCATTTACAGAAGCTTGTCAGCTGATTAGCTGCCTTTTTTGCAATCTTCTGTGAGCCCTTTGTGTTGCTCTGGTAAGATATAAATAGCAAAGAAGCACACATGAACTTAACTATAAAAATACACTAACAGCCTTCTTTAGCAGAAGAATCCTTACAGTGGTGTTCATGGTAATGAAAAATGATCTACAGTACAAAAAGGAACAGGCAACAAAAGGTATGAAGATTATGCTGACTGGAGCTTAGAGTCTTACTTTTCAGTACTGAGCTGTCTCACAGATTTAGGTTTACTAGGTTTTCACTTGCTCCAAACTTATTCACACCACAAGGCATAAACCTATTCCTCTGCTCATATATAGCCAGACTTACACTAATTATTTTTCTGTTCCTCTACAGGAGACACTTTGTTCATTGTCCTTCGCAAACAAAAGCTGATCTTCCTTCACTGGTATCATCACATTACTGTACTGCTCTACACCTGGTACGCATACAAGGATGCCGTGGCTGGAGGAGGATGGTTTATGACCATGAATTACACCGTCCATTCTTTCATGTATTCTTATTACACTCTTAGAGCAGCAAGGATCCACGTGCCACGATATTGTGCCATGTTCATCACAATGACCCAGATTCTACAAATGGTAATGGGCACCTTTGTCAATGTTCTAGTGTACCAGTGGATGCAGAATGGGACATGTTCAAGCACATTGGAGAACATATTCTGGTCAACTGTGATGTACGCAAGCTATCTGATGCTTTTCTGCAGCTTTTTCTATGATGCTTATATGAAAACTTCAGCCAAGAGTAAGGGAGAATAACCTGTATTCAAATATAGACTGTGAACTTGCCATCAAACATTTCCAGCTGTTACCAGGAATTATATTTTATAAATATGTGTGAAAGAATCACTATTTTTATACATAAAAAATGTTGTATCACCAATAATGGAAGTAGTTTTAAAATGCTGCAAAAAAATCGGAACTGAAATTCTATCTGATTTTTCCATAAATCCAACCTACAAATACATTTTGACAATTTCCAGTTGACTGTTCTTTAAATGGGATTTTTTAAACTCCGGACCCAAGGACAATTGGCAGGTATATTAATCACACATGTCTTATCTGTGTTATAGTGCACAGTATGGAGGATCCAGATATGTTAAGACCATTTATAATGGGCCCTTTACACTATGTTCCACGTTTTATGTACTAATGAAGATTTCTTTAACTGTAATAGTTTGATGACACATGTGCAGGAGAACTTATATTACTCATAACAGAGCATTGTAGGAAATATCTCACAAATAAATAAACCAAGAAATCTTCAATGTTATTGCCATTTGCTTGTGTATAGTTAATGTAATGACATAATGGCAAGTTTAAAAGGCATTCTGGTCTGTTATTTACTTTCCTAAAGGTTGGCTTAGAGTGCTGTTATTCCTTCACTCGGTCTGAGTGCTACTGTGCAGGGGATAAGGCTAAAATCAAATGTACTGTATATACAAGTTCAATTCAAAATACATACATTTTTTAACTAAATACATAGCGGCATTCATTTCATTTTTTTAATATCTGCCTGGACTTGAGCTTTAAAGCAAACTTGCCATGAAGAAATATGGATGCTTCAAATGCTGACCCATCATTCCAAAAATGCTAGAGACCTGACTGTCCTGTTAACTCTCTGTCCTTAATACATTGAGTCGATGGCCTCGAAAACATGGTCAGATAGGGACTTTTAATTTTTTTCTGACTTTCCTGATTTACATACTTGTTCTTGGTTAGTAACCAGAGGGTCAGCAAGGTGATGGGAGATAGAAGGCTAAATATATCACTACTGTATAGATGTTTGCTAGATTAAGACTGTAGGCTGTCTAGTCATTGAGATTCCTCCTTTAGCTTCCTTCAATGTACTGTACAGGTTCTTAAAGATTAAGTAGTTTGCTTTCTAGTCATTGAGATTCCTCCTTTAGCTTCCTTCAATGTACTGTACAGGTTCTACTAATCTCTTAACATTAGAATAACAATTGTATTTAAGTAAAGGAAAGTATTTTTATGCAGTGTTAGACCTGGTCCACTTTGAAGTGTAGATTCCTGATCAGGAATTTGAAACAATGAATATGTGAATACATGAGAAATGTAATGTGTTGTAAATCTATGTGCTGAAATTATCTGGAACTCTGTATGTATAGCGTGATTTACATAATCCTTCCTCCATCATCTCCTCCTTGATATCTGAAGCACACACCGAATCAATGAGCTAAACCAATTATTTAGTACATGTGTAAAGTCTACTTTAGGTTAACCCTTTAGGCAAGTCTAAGAGCTGGACCTAAAAGAATAATGAAATTAATAAATGCGACATCGGCTTTCCTTTTACTACATGTGGACAAATAGCAGATGCATTCTGGTTGTCTGCTATACGGAGAACCTTCGTAGTTTATTTTTTACTATTAATAAAACACTACTGGATCTGAAATAAATAATGATGGCATTTTATTTTTATTTCAATTCTTTTTTCAGAAACAGACCTTTCACAAAGCAAACCAAAGCTGCTATCCATTAAACTATTTCTCTGCAATCTTTTTATTATTTTTATGGAATTTCTTCCTGTGTGACATAATTAGGTTTATTTAATAATACAACCCAAAGAGCAGTAATGATTTAGGAAGTGTAGTTACATTACAACCAATCAAAATTCAATTATATTAAGTCAGATCAGAATATTTATGATTGGTTGCTGCTTGTAACTACACTTTTGTCATTGCTTCTTTACTTATTAGCAGAGTCAGAATGTGTCCTTTATTGAAACAGGTTATAATGTTTTAAAATCTTTAACTTTTTAAAGAGAATGAACTGGTGCTATGACATTGCTATTATCCTGTAAGTAGTACATTTAGCTACACTTAGTAATACTGCTGTTTTGCAAATACTTAAAGTGACATTAAACCCTCAGATTTTTTAACATAAACCAATACTGTAATGTGTGCCTTACTGTAATCCATGGTAGTTTCCCTTCTCTTTGCTGCTCTTCCTTTTAAATCCTCATGTCTTCTCATGCTTGGGAAGAACTTCCCTTTTCAGCTCAGGGCCTCTTCCTGTAGTGCTGGCTCAGGTTTCAAGCCTATACAAACGGATACACAGACACCGTGTATCCATTCCTGAGACAAGGCAGTCTTCTGCAAAACAGAAGTTCTGCAAAGCATGAGAAGAGATACAGATTTAAAAGGAAGAGCAGCAAAGATAAGGGAAACTACCATGGATTACAGTAAGGCACACATTACACTATTGTTTTATGTTAAAAAATCTGAGGGTTTAATGTCACTTTAATTAACAAAGGCTGGGGACTGTGGTCGAAAATAAAGTAATATATGGCTGCCTAATTAAAATGATAAAAGAGCCTGATGTCTTTGCGTATGGTGACTCCTAGGTGAAGAAAGGGGACCTGCTCATGATCAGCTTGTTTTCTTATATGCTGTGAAATGTCCCATGATCTGATAAGGGAGAGATAAAACATGCAACTGTGTAACTGACAAGTTTGTTCCCTAAACTGTAAATTGTACTTTTATGTACATTATGTACACTTACAGAAATATACTTTTCATTAGAAATGAATGCTGAAATATTTGTACATTGGTCCTGTAAAAGGTGATGTTTATATTTGTGGCATTAAATTAAAGTATTTTTGCATTTGAACCTTTTGATCAGAGTGAGATCATTTGTCATTCGTCACTATTTCACATCATTGTGACTGCTGGTGCCTACCTCCCCTCCTTTGCACAGCACACAAACCCTTCCTATGATAATGACAGCCACACCTCTCTGCCTGTTTCAACTCCTTTCACCCCATTATCAAACTGGTTTTTCTTGCTTGTCTGTGGAATGTTGTATCAATAGTGACAAGGATGCAAATGCAAAAATGTACCGTATATGGTATTCACAAAGTCTATAAATATGATATACTATATATACAATGGGGGGAATTTATCAGAGCAATTGTTATAGTTTTTACCTCTTAGATAATTTTTTTTATGTGCAAATCTGTCTTTCAACATGTGCCCCTGTTTTAATCTGAGCTTGCACTATTTTCCAACTGCACGTGTTTTGCACCTGTTATCATCACAGCTTGCACTACTTTTTCAACTGCATGTACTGCAATAACACTCGTAATTGCTATGATAAATTCCCCCCTATGTATGAGCATGCAGGTTTAACATTTTTCTCAACTTTCATAAAACCAACCTGCACCCGGCTAAATTTGCCACATTAACCTATACTTGCTTAAACAATGTACACTGGTTGCATTTTAATTTTCTTTTTATATTGAATACATAACTGCAATAATTTGGGTTGTTTTTATATCTTCCCGAAGTTTAGCTTTAACAATGATATGGACTTGAATTGAATTAACTGGCCGATTCACCCTTCTGTTTGGTGAATATATGCTTGTCTATGCAGGGCCACCATTAGAAATCATGGGGATTTGTACAGCCTACCAGACAGGGCTACCCCCCTCCCCAGGTGTTTCCCCATACTCTTGAACCCTGCCCCGCACAGTGTACCCCATCTCCTGTGGCTGGTGTCTCCTCATACACTGCAGAGGGATTTTGCATGCTACTCCAGCTGCCTCTGTGCACACAGCCCAGAGGTCCTCGTCTGGGGCCCGCAGTCAGACCCTGGGGCCCCCTACCCCTGAAATTTACATGAAAAAAGTGACTTACCTCTCCAGCATCCTGCAAATACTGAAGAACGTGCTGTCTTTTGCAGTTCCCGGGAAAATCTTGTCCTATAATGCAGCTGTATTTGTACTGTGAAGTGGCCAAAAGGACACCTCATGGCACATACCTCCCTCTCTCCTCTACTGCAATTAATCATGGAGGGAGGTAAAGGTATGCTTGAATCTAGGGCAGTGATTTAGATGGATGCTACACTGTTCTCTTGAACTTTTACCCTGGACCCCTACTTACCTGATGGGGCCGAGCCCATTTTGGGAGTACTGCCTGCACCCTCCTATTGGTAGCCCTGTGTATACCCTGTTTCCCTGAAAATAAGACCTACCCCGAAAATAAGACCCTAGTACTATTTTTGGGAATTGCTAAAATATAAGACCTACCCCAAAAATAAGACCTAGTTGGGACCATTCCCAGGGCCGGTGGTGTCATAAGGGGGAGCTTGAAGAGCCGCAGAAGAGAATCAGCGGTGCCAACGAAGCCAGCGCTAGAGGAAGCGAGGCGGCACCGGAGGGAGCAGAGCCACATAAGCCGATGCCTCCTCTATAGCGCCGGCTCCTGTCACAGGTGGAGTGATACCAAATGCACTCCACCTGTAAGGGATCGATAGTGAAAGTGCGCTTCGCTCATTCTGGCCAGCGATTGGTTAGCAAATTGCTCTTGGAAATGTACGGCACCCCTGATTGCCCTGATCACCATATTTTTGTACATGAATACATGTAGACTGTTGTACATGAATAAGTGTGGATTGTTGTACATAAAAAAAATAAAATAATAAGACCTACCCCGAAAATAAGACCTGGTGTGTTTTTTTTTAGCCCAAAAAAATATAAGACAGTGTCTTATTTTCGGGGAAACACGGTATGTCCTGTTAATCATAACAGTTTGCCCGAACCAGAAATCACTATTTATACACCTGTCTATTGCCCAGTTTGCAATTTGCCTATTGCCAAAGCATCAATGAACATTAAGCACAAACAGTTATCTGCAGGGTTTACATCCTGTCTACTTAGGGCTGCCACCTTTTCTTCAATCAAAGCCCAAACCCAGTGTAGGCCGCAGTACGTCTATAGACGGTGGCCCACAGAAGTGGTTAAAACAAGAACACGGCTGCTCTTGGTACCGCTTTTAACAGCAGGC